TAAACTCTGATCTCTAAATGTTATTTAGAAATTCGTAGTTCAGTTTTTTTTCTTTTAACAAGAGAAGGAATTGATGTATGTTAATTTAAAAAAAAAAGATTGGTATTTATATAATTACGTAATCTGTGAAAGGATCAGTACTTCTACTTCAACTTCTAGATATGAAGGCTCGTTCTGTTGATCTTTTAACGTGATCATCGTTCTATTTTATTTCTTTTATACTATGCTTAATAAACAAATTGTTTTACTTTAAGATGTTTGATTCAGATGATGACGACCTAATTTTCTAATATGACCTTTGCTTCCACAATTGAAACAAGTGAATTTGGATTTTGATTTTTATTCAAATTTATATTGTCGGTTTCGTACATTTCTTTGTGATTTTCATTAATTTTCATTCTAGTAAATTCAATGGCTACGATGTTTTCTGGTTCTGAAATATACACAACGGTATATTTCTTTTTTAATGTTCCGGTAGTAGACCAATTCGTCATCAAGAATTCTGCTCAAATCGACCAAATCGGGTAAAAAACAAAGTGCCCAATTTTTAAAGCGAAACCTTTTGCAATTTCTTCAAATAAAGCAATATATGCTATAATATCATCATCGATGTCAATACTATACACGTGATCAGAAAAATAAATCAACCTGTTTCTGTTTCAATTTTGCGTTTTCTATCTTCTTCGAATTCCATTCTTCCCATTTCACGGTTTCTTCTTTCTTCTTCAATTTGACATTAGATTTCTTTTTTTTTTCTCTCAACAAATTCTTTTTTCTTAAAGTGCCAATTCCTCTTATCTTTGTCATTTTACAACTTCTTTTTGTCTTTAACTGTTTCTTTCCAACTCGCTTTTCCTTTCACTTCCCCCCCCCCATAATATTTCGTACCAACAAAGTGATGTTTTCTTGTAACAGGTTTCCTAAACTTATTCCCACCAAAAACTGAAGTCTGAAAAACAAATCAACTTAAAGAAATTCCAAAAATATCGTTTACTTGGGCTGCTTTTTATTATTGCTGATGCCAACCAGAGTTTTAAAACTTTTACAGTGCATGCACAAAATAAAGAACTTTATTGAGGTTTTAGGAAATAATATTAGGAATTAATTTATTTAAAAAAAATGCGAAAAATTTGTAGCATGAAATGAGTAGATCAACTGAATTTCTGAAATAATTTGCTTTTCATTGATGAGCTTTTAATTCCGAACATAGCTGAAATGTGTGGTTGATAAAAGAGACACAGCTTGAAATGCATCTGAAAGAAAATGACCACAGTCCAACATACAGGATTAAGAAAACGGACATACTCAAAATGCTTGTTCTGGAAAATGGATATAGCAGAAAATGCGTGTTTAGAAAATGATGTATTTCTATTATTCTTAAGAAAATGGACATATCGTTTGATTTTGTTTTTAAATTTTTTTTCTGTTCTTTTTTAAAGGAATAAACTAATGGTTTTAAATGAACTGCTAATGTAATGTCGTCCATTGACCAAAACTACTCAGTACATTCTTTAAAGTCTTTTTTGAAAAGATATTAAAAGTTACTAGTTCGTTTTACAAGGTTTGTCACGAGTCCTGCAAATGTATAGTAGTAATAAATTTCTTAAAACTATTTTGTCGTTCAGCGTTTCGAATACGAAGAAATGCCTGAGAAATTATATCTGTATTATTGCGAGTTATCCTAACCCAAAGTCCGGGACTTTGCCCTACAATGATTATGCTTGGCAATTAAAAAGTAAGGAAAAGAAACAAAGTTTGAAATATGCTTCGTTAAGTTGTTAAATTTGGGTTGAACATTGAAAAGAAGCAATTATTTCTTAGTTCATTTTCTTAAACACTCATTTTGAGCTGTGCTTATTTTCTTTAACATGAATTTCAAACTGTGTTCAAAAGAAAAAAACGCATAGACGTTCTGTTCGTAATATATTAAAATGAGTATTGACATAAATTCTGATTCATCTCTAGATATAAATTCAACACAATCTAAATCAAATGTTATTATACAGAACTAAATGTGGAGGAAATTTATCTCACTTACCTATTTTCTATGAAGCCACCAGCTGAGTATAATTTCCTTTTCCCTAAATTTTAATTTATAATTTATAACCATCATTGAAATCCAACCCAATTTTTTGGGTTTACGACAACTAATGTTCAACTCCATAGCCTTGTTATTTTGAACCCAGTCCAGAGGACAAGGGAATTATTGGATCAGGTATTGGGAGAAATTTGCCTTCGGGAGGACTTTTTGATGGAATTACCCGCATTTGCGTTGCATGGAGCTGAAAAACCACGAAAATCTCCCACAGTTAGTCAGACGGCAAGGGGACTCTAACCCATCACCCGTCTACCACTGAGTGTATTCTACGTCAGCACTGTGGTCGGTGCAAGCTGGATGCGGAATTCGTATCTACCAGCCATTGCTGGAATTCGAACCCGGTTCACCTCATTGGAAGGCGAATGCTCCATAGTATAAAATCCAGATAAAATATATAGTGTTTTGGTGAAGGCCACGTCATTGAACTGAGCTCAAAATTTCATGGCTGTCTAAAATAGTACCCAAAAAATTGAGATAGTTCATATGGCTACGACGCCGACCGGCCTGTGTGGTTGTTAGGGAACTGCCCTTGCATCAGAAAGGTTCTGGGTTCGACTCCCGGGCAAGGCATGGATGTTCTTTCCTTCTCTGTTCTATCTGTCCTTACTGTGGGAGCAACGTTGGCCAACCTAATATGGTGCCCCTGAAAGAGTTTCCAACAAATCTGTCCTTCAGATGCCTGTATGACGTAGGTCATTCCCCAGGCGGGCATTGGAGAAGAAAAAAAATATGGCTGAGACTGAGAAGTATGGTGATGATTATCGTAAGACTCTGTATGTGATACAAGAGTTCCTTTTACTTGTAAATTATTCTTGTTAATTTTTAACTTAACATGAATAGTAATCTATGTTTAGCTACCAAATTTTATTTATGTCAAGCATGGTTAGGGTCATGAAAAAATCTGAGAATAATGTCATACCATAACAAAATTATAATTATTCTTATTTTTGCGTGATAGAACATAATCTGTTGCGTTTAGGGGGATTTCATCTCAGGCACATCAGTTTCTTATGAAACATGGAGAAAAAAACAAAGAATTCATTCAAACTATTTTTAGTTGCCTAACAGATAGAGGATATTGATAAAAATTTTCCCTGTGCAGAGGAATATTGGAAAAAATTTCCTTTAACACCAGAGAAAATTAAGAATTATATTTATAAGAATATTCATAAAACAAAAAACGTAAAAAAATATGAGGTTTAGTTAAGTTAATATAGATAATTCCGAAATTTTATATATTTTATTACAAAAAGACAATGAACATTTACTCACTGAATACATATAACACACAGATAACAATATAGCTTATAAAATATTGTATTGTAAAAATTTACAAACAACTTTCCTTCTGGTACAATTCATAACTGTATTTAAACTTAAAAACAATATTACAATATTAAACTTTTGATATTCAAGAGAAATATAAACATCTACTACAAAATGTTTAATTCTCGTATATTTTCTCAGTAAAAATATTTACACAAATAATATCATAGCTAATTAAAAAAAGTTCATTGATCTAAACTTCTCTAACTTTTCAGCTATATTTCACTTTCAGTAAGGACGTTATTATTAGCACCACATTTCATTATAAATATGACTTTCAACTTGGCAATTAATATCTTACATCTTGTATAAGTTCAGTTTGTACGCTTTCAGATATTACGATTTAAATCTTTTTCTTTAAACACTTTTCATCTTCATTATATTGATAATTTTGCACATTCAGATTCTACAAATAAAAACAATTTTAATTTAATTTATGATCTTGAAGAATAAAGTTACCAGCGCTACTTTATTTCTGACGCTGTCTAGCGTGTACACTTTTCATTTGGCCCACCCTTTTATTTATTTATTTTTTAACTTTATTTTTTTTATATAAAATAAAGATTAAACAAATATTGTATTATAAAAAATAATACCATCATAGTGAATTTAAATTGTTTGAGTTTGAAACAATTTTAAAAGTTTTAAGAAAATAAAATTTACCTATCAGGAGTAAAATGCTCTTATAAATAAATATAATACAGTTACACACTATTTAGGGACTTGGGCAGGCCTCAGGGTGCGAGCAATAAGTACATCGGTAAGTGCGGCGCACATCACCTCTGCGCATCTTTATGCAAAAATATAGAAATTCGGTATCCGTATGTTTCTGTCTTATTGCTTGCCTCCTCAGTACGTAATCTGCCTAATAATGAGTTATTGAATCATTGTTAAATTGAATATTCAAAAACCATTAATATTAGTATAATATTTAACAGTGTTTCAAATATAAGTTAACAATTTAAAGAAACAAAATGTATGTCTATGATCAGAATTCGCCCTTACATAACATTGTATAAATTTTTCAGTCTGTCGAAAATAAATATTATTATTAATGTTTTCAAAACAGTTTAAGTTAACACACCGCATAGGTTTATTAATAGATATTGTAAAGAAAAATTACATTAAATATTGAGAATTTAACGATTACATAGAATTACATGGACAATTACATTGAATACAGAGAATTTCACGTACATTTAGATACAGAGTGTTAGTAGTATTTTTGTAGGATGCAATAAGGGAAATATACAAATTATATGGCTTCTATTGAACTTATCTTAGAAAGCCTGTATATGGGTGATTATCCAAAACCCTAACAATATCATATCCAAATAAAATATTACAAAATTGACTTAAGTTTGAAAAACGACATTGTTTCTTTCTACCTTTTTGTTGGATTGATTGAGTGCCTTGAAAGTTTGATTTACCTGATGTTTTTCTGAGCTTTAAAGTTTTCAACTGATATGTGTTAGTTTCTACAATCATTCTCCTGTATAGCAGTTTCATTATACAAGAAAACATTTTTTTTAAAAATTATAAACACATTATAATGTATAATAATGTAAGGATTCTAATAGAAGAACTTTCTAAGCCCAAATTTGCTTTTAGAACATTGTAGCATATTAAAAAAAATGTCACATTCTTGGTGTGCAAATATGTCATTGGCCTTTTCTGAGCAAGAAGATTGACTTAATAGCTAGCATCGCTAAAATGAGTTCCCTTTATTGTTTGTTTGCTAAGTGCCTTACAAAGAGTAAATATGATTTTTTTAATATTTTTAAAAGCACTTTTAGTTTTTTATAATTTACGACTTGAAAAGGTCAAGTTTTTAGAGAATCACCCATATTCCCTTTCAAAAATTCCCTTAGAAGTGAAACGTCTCAACATTCATTCTTGATCTTGAGCACAAAAATAAGAGTTAAGATATGTTATTATCATTTCCTACAAAATACAGTATAGTTTCCAGTATATTTTGATGCCAATATAGTTTGTGTCAAGGTAACGTGGTACCAATTTGGACTAACAAATGAAATATTGGTTTGTTTCTGATAAATCAGCAATATTTTTCATTTGTAGAGAATTTGTAGATTTCATCAGAAGTTACACCATTGCATGCTGATTTACTTTCTATTTCAGTTAAAACTTATTGACAAAATTCATAATATATTCATTTATTACCTAATAACATTAGGACGTTATCAAGTGTTTGCCAACAGAGATTTAAAATAAAAAGTAATATACTTATTCTTTACAATGTTGCTTAGTTTGAGAAAAGGGAATGTGTTTAGTAAACAATCTTAGCTTCCTGTTTGTTATAACCGAAATGTGAACCAAACTTTTTGTTGCAGGAAGGTTAGGTACAGCAACACGGAAGTAGCCTTAAATTAGGGATAGCAAGTTAATAATGAGTTGTGCCTGCCGTTCCCAAAATCCATTCGGTAAAATGAGTGTTGCACGGTTCGTTTGCTGGCTTAACGAACGGGAACCTTATTTAGCTTAGAGTCAATTTGAGCTAATGCTTGGTTTCATTGCCTGCGTACAATTATAGTTACACTCTCGATGTACACCACGTTCGTTAAGAGTTATTTATCAATTGCATTCTCCGATAGCCAGTTTTTCCCCACTAATTGTGAATTTTCGGTATACTCTAGATCACCGGTTTCCAATTTTTGTCACCTACGGAATCCGAAATAATCAACTTTCTCTTGGCAGAACCCCGACTTTATAAATAAAGTTTATTAAGTTAATTGAGAATGTTATAGAAAAACTATTACGCTGCTTTAAAAACCATTTTTAAAATATTTAATTAGAGAAACGAAAATTTTTTAATGTTTCATCATTAATAATCTTAAATTTGGTTTCATATCCGATACTTAAATTTGCCCAGATTGCTCTACTCTAGTCCAGTTATGAATATGTTTTCGGTATATCTATATGAATGAATAAAATTAGTCAAATTAAAGTTTACTTTGGGAAGAAAGCTGCTGTAGAAAATCGTATTTAGGGAAACATATCTCTTTATTAATTAATTATTTCATTTTGCTTTTAAAAGCGCGATAGGAAATACTAATACAATAAATACTAGTTTTTTTCCTAATTTTTCCAACATATTGTTATTTGAAATATTACATTTTCTTTTAAAAAATACCATTTCCATTTCATTGGTATTTTAATTGAAGTAATTTCATAAAGGCAAACGAAAGATTAACTGAATTACGAATTAAAGGTTTTATTTAAATATAATCATAGGATAAAAACTCATTACTGGCTATAAATAGTACGAACTCGTGGAACACCCTTCATTTTTTCACGGAACCCTAAGGTTCCACGGAACACCATTCGGAAACCGCTGTTCTAGACAATATCAGCCTACGAAATCCTACACTTATTTTATAATTGAAAATGAATTACCTAAGCGTCTAGGGTAGTTTGAGATAGATACGCAAATTGCGTATCTTTGGGCCTCATTTATGCTCAAGCGAAAATGCTACGATAACTGCATATGCGGCTAGTACTGTGTTAAGTAATTTGCTTCAATTGTGCGAACTTTTAAGTTTGTCGCCTTTGCTTGAAATAATAGGCGCCTGTCTCGAATATTGAGTAAAATACTATCGAGCGAACAAACTATAAAGAACATATAACCTTGAACAAGTGTGGTGTACGCATGATTGCACGTAGCTAGTCAAGTTTTACCTACATAACCTGTGAAACCAAACAGTAGTTCAGATATGGCACATAGCTAAATCAGGGGTTCCAGACGTAGAGTCAGAACGTGAATTGTGCGATGCTAATTTTGCTGTATGTGCTTCGGAAGCCAAAGACTCAACTCATTATTAACTTGTCTAATTCAATGGTACTTAAGTGTATTTCGTGATTAAAAACTTAAGTTCTACATAAATGAAAAAGTGCTCATAGATTTAAACACACAGTTGCTATTGAGATGAGCAGTAAGGGAGACAAAGAGTCGTAAAAAACTAAACTTTTCGAAATAAATTATGTGAACCACCTATGGAATTCACGGATTAAAGGAACATTCTTCTTTCACAAAGGAATTTTTTGGATGTTACTTTTCATCCTCACAGATTATTTTGGGCACCTTATAAAGATGACCCTTAAGCATATGTCAATCTACCACTTCCAAATATTCAGGTTCTGTTCGCTCACTGCAAAGCTGTTGAAGTTTGGCATGGATAGATTTCATCTGCATTCTTTCATGTGGTCTTGTCTGCCAACAAGCTTGCATGAGATGATATATTTCGCCTGGACATGACTGAGGACGGGGGAGTATCTTATTAGACGTCACTTGCTGAATAACCTTCAAAGTAAAATTAAAACTTGTACTTTTTGCTAAACGTTCATAGAATCCGGTTGATTTTTACAGTCAACTGAAGATAATAGTTACTGATATAAAATGAAAAAGTTATAATGAATAATTATGAACAACATATTCAACATTAAAATACCTTCAATACTTCTGTCATGTTTGAATGTCCTTAGTTTCATATTAAAATAATGGCTTTGTTTTAATTTCGGGCTTCTGTGTGACAATTCTTGTATCTAACGAAGTTAGACAGTTACTACCTGCAGGTAACAGTCTATGATTGTTGTTGTATTAAATAACCTTGTACTTTAAGGAAATAATTAACTTCAGAGAATGTGATATGATTTCAAGTTATTCATGCTATTATATACCAAATAGACAGTTTTATTTTTGTTTAATCAAATATTAGGTTTTTTTAGCTAAAAAGTCAGTTCTTGAAGGAAATTTGGTAAACGGATTAAAAATAAGCTACATTTTATACCTCAAAAGCTGTGTTGAATAACGAATGACTTACTTAAATTTTGTGTAGTTTGGCGTGTCCCTTGTTTGGCGAAAAAAAAAAACATTTTTTCAGTGATTTTGATATTTGTTTTCTTTCGGACAATTTTAAAGCTGCTTATAGGCCGATTTTATATTTCAAATTAAGTAAATTAAGAAATACTCTTTGCGGTAATTACTTTAGTAAGAAAATAACACATAAAACTCATTTGCACAATGAAAAACTTTAGTTGAGTGCATAGAAGTTTCAAATAATGTACAAGTTCAAAAAAATTGTTAGGCTTCTCCTTTTTATTACTATGACAACCAAATGTTATATATCGCATTATTAGTTGCATTGAGATTTTATATATATTAGGACTAAGTAGTATTTTAAAAACACGTATTTTTTCAAGTTTAGTACATGCAATGATTGTAAAAGTTTTCATCTCATTTGTTAAGATGCAGATTTAAAATGTACTTTGAAGAAATATTTTAATTAAATCAAAAATTTAATTAAATTAAAAAAATTTATTTACATAAATTTAAATAAAAAACATATTTTATAACGTGCGGAATTATTAATTGTTACAAATAATACGCATGTATTGTTTGTATTTGTTTTTAGCTTGCAAATTATAATTGAAAAATACCTAGCTATCATTATGACGAGTCGAGGCTGGATCAGTAAAAAATATTTTGGGATGCCTTTTTGACCCAAACTATAACTTTTCATAATCTATAAAAATCTGAAACTAAATTGTTAAATCCGCTTATCAGAAATCTGTAATGTTTTACAACGTATTATTTTATTTTCATATTTAAAGTGGTAGTAAATATATACTAGTTTTTCTTTTATAAATTTAATTTTTAAATGATTTTGATCACCACTATTCTTACAAAAATTAAGCTTATATATTAATATGCGTTACTATCATGGTTGTCAACTTAATTTTTTTCAAATACAACGCATTTGTTTGCTTAAAATTGAAGTTTTAATTCCATTTTAATACCACTGGGAAAAATGATAATGGTAGGGATTAAAAGTTGGCAGGTCTGAGATAAATAGGCTGGTGTAAGAAGTTAAGAGAATTTGCAGACTTGGTCGATTATCTGTACAATTACTGAACCGATTTTAATGAAATTTAATCTGTAGATACAGTGATACAATACAAAAAAAATAACCATTCAACAACTACAATACACGCCCTGAACATTCGTTAGAGTTGGAAGGTATGAAATAGCCGCAGGACAATTCAAGGCAATTACCACAGGAAATGATAAACTGCCTTATTTCAAGTAAGAAATCACTCTGCAAGACCTGCATATCTGTAAGAGGGGATCAAACCCTTTAATAACCCATATTTTTGGTGGTTATTTGTTATATTTATTCTTTCGGTGGTTATTTTTTTGTATTGTATCAATGCATGTGCATATCAAATTTCATTAAAATCGGTCCAGTAATTCTAGAGATAATCGACCAAGTCTGCAAATTCTCTTAATTTCTTACAACAGTGCAAGATTTATTTTTATCTTTAGAGTTAAGCAGTAAAATATTTCGGAACAAACATATTTACCTCGTGATTCGTAAGTTCATACCAAGGTTGTTTTCCTAGAGTAAAAATCTCCCACATCACAATACCAAAGCTCCAAATATCGGATTCAGTAGTGAACTTCCGGTAAAGAATGCTTTCCGGTGGCATCCATCTTATGGGCAGCATATTATGCCTTCCAACCTGTACAATAAGAAAATGTATGATATACGTCACAATCTTCCCTGCCCTAAGCTTGACAAATGACAAAAAGTACTTTCGATAAAATTAGGGAGAAATCTTTCACGAGAAGAATTGTTTATTAGTCCAGCTGCATAAAAAATAAATAAAATGGGTTTGCGTTTAGAAAACTATTTAGATTAGTATAATACTGTTTAGGATACTATTTGCGTAACTGGAATACTATTAAAAGACCACATCCATTATTAACGGTTTGTAAATGTCTTGATATTCCTGATGAAAAATAATCTGCCCTGATTTTCAGTTTTTTATCCTGATATTCCTGATTTTTGTGTGCCTTCAAAGCATCCCATTTTCAACGAATACAAATACGGATTTTAAAAATAATTGATTGGGAGTATCGAAAAATTTAGATCTTCTATCCAACAGCTTTTTGTTTTAAGTCATAATGCTAAAAAATCTGTAAATTTGATAAATCTAACTTGGTGATCGTCCACTAATTATATGCACGGTTCAGTGTGGCTCGTTGTTTCTGACTTTCAGGAAATTCCGACATTTTACGAAAATGTAAACTTCAGAATAAAGTTCTTTACTATACCAAGTTATTACAGTGATGAATTCAGGGGTCAACCACAGATTTATTGCTTTCAGCAAATGTAGAAGCAAATCTTGAGGGATTAAGTTTTGTAATTTCACAAAACAATAAAAATACCAAAATTCGACAGTTATAACTTTGGGAATGTCCACTAATTATATGCATGGTCTAGGCAAATAGCCTTATTCGTGAAATTCGTTGTTTATGACTTTCTGGAAATTTCGACGTTTTACGAAAACGTCAAAACGTTTTGTAAACTTCAGTATAAAGTATTTTACAATACCAAAATATTACGGTGGTGAATTCAGGGATCATACGTTTTATTTAGTGCTTTCAGCAGATGCCGTAATAAATCTTGTTGGATGGAGTTTTGTAGTTTAAAAATTATTGAATCATTCTTTTATCTGATTTCAGAAATCATTGATTCTAATCACAATAATAATATCATATAATTTTTAAATAGTGAGTTGAGGGATCATTTATGACAAATTTAGTTTATTATATTAATTGCTTAATATTAATAGCTAATACTAATATTTATTATTAATACTTAATATTAATACTATTACTTAATATTACTTAACTGATTAACTAACTAATTAAATAAATAGTAATGATTTAATATTGATTGTAGTATATATTAAAATATAATAGGAATTGAAGCATAGTTATTTTGAATAGTTAATTTGAATCAATAAAATTTTTTTGTAAGCTAAAAACATTTTAGTTGACTCAAATGTATAAATACTTCTTTTTTTTTAAAGTCTCACGTACTTTAAAATTTTCATCTTTTTAGCAGTTTGAATTGAGTTTTTTTTTTATCTTACAAATTTTTTCAAATTATTTTTTTTCTTCAAATAAATAAAAGGTTTCCCAAGCTTTGTGAAATCAAGCTCAAAAACTTCCCGGAAGTTATTTAAGAATTTTAAGGTAGATAATGTTAATATATACGTATTAAAAAAAATTAGACTCGGAAAATTTTGCTTGTTTTTGAAACAAATTTAATCCCTTATGATTCATAAATATATATAATTTTTGAAGCGTTACCTCGATTTTTTTTAAGAAACTTTAATAATAATTATAAATTCAAGGGTCAATTTATTAGTATAAAATTAATTTCAAAACTAATGTGCTAAACTCTTTTTTTCTAAACTTTTTTAAACTTTTTTAAACTTTTTTAAAATGGTATTAAACTTTTAACTTTAAAGCCTTTGAATACTGTTTGATAGAGATAAGGACATTTTAAATACAATAAAAATATAGTGATAGGTTTCAGTGATAGGTTTCAATCAATACTATTTAAGCACTCTTGGAAAATTTATTTAATGGTATCTGACTAGTGCAAAAATAATCATAGTACAGATATTTTAAACTACAGACTAAGAAAAAAAACAGAATTTCATTTTCCATGCACGTTTTTTGGCAAAGACAAGTGCGGAAATGTTTAAAAATTTGATATTTTAACTACGTTGATCCCGTAGATGGTACACAATAGCTTTTAAGATAATTTTTCAAAACATAGTTGATAGTTTTCCAGAAACCCTCCAGGATTTTTTTCGTTTTACGAGATAGAAATTTTTTTGCTGAATTTTTCAAATAACTGCCTTATTTTTACCTGAAAATGGCAGTTGAAAAAGCATCATCATAATAAGTTTTTTTTGCTAGTTTTAGAAGTTTTTACACGAAATGAAATGAATACAGTAGTTTTTTAAAACTTTATATTAATAGTGTTTTAAAAAATGTCGAAACTTGTCGGATACCTTAAAAAATGGTGAATAAAAAGTTTTTTATTGTTTCCCTTATTCCAACAACATTTTCTTTTATTTGTTAGATTTAACAACCTCAAAGATTGAAAAAGAATTTTTTTCAAAAAGCAATTTTTTTCTCACTACAACCAATTTATGTTTGTGGATTTAAGTATAAAAGTATTTCAAGATTCAATTTTCACTGTTCAATTTCCATTTCAAAGGATAAATAAAAAGATAACATTCCTTTTTTTTCCCCCTGAAATCGAAAAAATTTCCTAAGAGTTTACTGTTATATTTTCCTATCTATTTTCTTAGAATTGAGCGAATTTTAAAAAAGGAGTGACTTATTAAAAATTCCGTTTTAATTAATTTTTCATTGTGTTGCTAAAGCTTAAGATAAGTACTACGTTTATAATCCTATAACAAAGAGGAGAGGTGCATTTTTTTATTCTGAATTAGAAAACTATATGTACTAGTTTGTATTCATAAAAAATGTAGTGTTGAAAATTAAGTGAGTATATAATTATCCATATATAGAGTATCTTGATGATAAAACGGTCAAATATCTGAATGGACAAATATCTATAGAAATAACATAGGTTCATAAGTTTATTTCGAGCTATTTATACTTATATTTATATACAATACCAAAATGCTATTTATACTATTTTTAAGAAATATTTTTAAATGAGCATTCATTGTTGTCATATTTCACATAGTAACCTGAACCAGTAGTAGTTAGTGTCAGTAGTAGTACCTATTAGTAGTACCCAGTCGTAGTAGTAGTACTAGTAGCAGTTAGTAAACCGACATTTCTACTAACAGGTTGCATCTCCAAAAATAAATTACGAAAGATGATTACTTAGTTGGTGCAAATCAGACGCGGACTCCATTTCCGCTATTTCAACTGTGAGGGTTCTAAATTAAGCGTACAATCATTGCGTGAAAATGTCACTAATCGCAACCGTTAATCTGGTCTATGGAAATATATGTACAAGGATCAAAGATAATGAATATAATAAGATAATTCACATACCTAATTAAAAGTGAATGAATCTAGCAACTGTTCTAATAGAAACACAACAGTTTGACGACTTTTTTTTCTTCGTGAACTGTTTAACCGAGTTTCTCTTCAACTTCATTATGTGCAATCTAAATCACTTAATAGCTAAAGCGATTACTTAAATCACGCTAGCAATCAGATTATTCAGTTTTCACTTTTCTTCGCAGAGGAAGAAAAAAGAAATTTAGAGGATTTAAATTTTTACCTCCGATTCCTTATACCTTCGGCTTCTCTTTCTTACGTAGCCATATTTCCCTTATTGTGATTCCTCAATATTTGGAGAATTTTAAGAAACCGATTTTACCGAAAAAAGCTATGCTTGTTCTGAATTAAGATTTTTTTTGCAAAAACTTAAATTATCATCTGTACTAAGTAATTTCTATGGTTGATATCAGCCCTATTAAATATTAAAATTGCCATTTGATCCATAACAATTGAAATTCAATGATTTGATGAAATGCTATTTATGATAATAAGTTTTTATTTTGACTTCACTGAACATATGCAATTATCTTCAGAGTCATTTTGTGGTCCTTATAACTTTTCGCAGATGAACCCATGGTTTATCATTCTTTTATTCTATTACTAGGGGGCTAAGCCCCCTGTTCGCTGCCGCTCACCAACCCCGATGATTGCTTCGCAATAATTGTCTTTTCTTGGCAGAAAACAGTTTTTATTCACTTAAATTAATAAAAATTATTCGCTCAACATATATGTACTAAAAGGAATTCTGTTGTCTTACACTAATGTCTCTACTTCCCACATCCAAATATTACTATTTGTTAGTATTATAAACATTTAGATCTCTTGGTGAACAGTGATTTTTCGAAGTAATCATTTTTTAAAGTAACATTTATATTCTTATAACATTATATTGTTCAAACAAATTTGATGAGTTCGCAAACATAATTTAATATTTTCGCTAATAATAGCAGTACTGGCGAATAACTTTAAATTAGGGATACAAAAATATTTAATAGAAAACAATGCCTTTACGACTTCTGTCAATTTTATGCTGATGACAACCTAAACAATATGGAAATGAATGAGGAAAAACTGGATCCTACCACGTGATTTTCCGGCCAATAAAATTACGCTGACAACAATGGAAAACGATGTTAGACCATTATGATTTTATGTTATGTAGAGATATACTATACAAATTCAAATAATATGTCGTTAGATTTAAGCTGCAAGGACACCTAAAGGTCTGGTTTCTTAAGACAAGCGCCTTATCTGGGCGTCAGCGTGACGTCAACGTCCTTCTAACACCAACAAAATTCTGGTTTGTTAGCTCAAGGCCTGGTTTCTTAGAACTAGCGCCTTATCTGGGCGTCAGCGGAAAGTTGACGTAGAGCTGACACCAAAAAAATACTTTTGGTTAGCTCAGCGTGAGCAGTTGGTCCAACGCAGACATTATCTCTCATTGCGCATGCGTTAATAACGTAAACAAATATTTATTTTGAATTTATATTGATATTGTAATTGTCGACCAGTGTTTTGGAGAGCAAATAATGACTTTGTCCAAGAAAAAACACATTATAGCTGAGCTAAATGAAGAGTGCTATGTTTAATGAAAAAGCTATGCTTAATGTCAAAATCAAAATCTTGACTGAATTCAATGTGCTGTTGGATGTTGTCCGCCATTGCTTCTGTGGTTAACGTCACGTTGTAATCCAACTGCAGTTGAGTTGGACGGCAATTGTAGTTCAAGATGAGCGTTCGATGACGTATACTATCAAACTCAAAAATGGACCAATCAAAGGTTAGCGCTGATTTCCAACTGACGGCGTCCTGTCCTAAGAAACCAGGCCTTAAAGGCCTGGTTTCTTAGGACAGGACGGATTTCTTAGGATTTTGGCATTAAACAGGGTTCTTCATTAAACATAGCACTCTTCATTTAGCTCAGCTATAATGTGTTTTTTCTTGGACAAAGTCATTATTTGTTCTCTAAAACACTGGTCGACAATAACAAAATCATTACAAATTCAAAATAAATATTTGTTTACGTTATTAACGCATGCGCAATGAGAGATAATGTCTGCGTTGGACCGACTGCTCACGCTGAGCTAACAAAAAAGTATTTTTTGGTGTCAACTTTCCGCTGACGTCCAGATAAGGCGCTAGTTCTAAGAAACCAGGCCTTGAGCTAACAAACCAGTATTTTGATGGCGTCAGCGGGACGTTGACGTCCCGCTGACGCCCAGATAAGGCGCTTGTCCTAAGAAACCAGACCTTTAGGATTACGTTTTGTAGTGACAAGCGCCTTATCTGGGCGTCAGCGGGACGTCAACGTCACGCTGACGCCAACAAAATACTGGTTTGTTAGCTCAAGGCCTGGTTTCTTAGAACTAGCGCCTTATCTGGGCGTCAGCGGAAAGTTGACGTAGAGCTGACGCCAAAAAAATACTTTTTTGTTAGCTCAGCGTGAGCAGTCGGTCCAACGCAGACATTATCTCTCATTGCGCATGCGTTAATAACGTAAACAAATATTTATTTTGAATTTGTATTGATTTTGTTATTGTCGACCAGTGTTTTAGAGAACAAATAATGACTTTGTCCAAGAAAAAACACATTATAGCTGAGCTAAATGAAGAGTGCTATGTTTAATGAAGAAGCTATGTTTAATGTCAAAATCAAAATCTTGGCTGATTTCAATGTGCTGTTGGATGTTGTCCGCCATTGCTTCTGTGGTTAACGTCACGTTGTAATCCAACTGCAGTTGAGTTGGACGGCAATTGTAGTTCAAGATGAGCGTTCGATGACGTATACTATCAAACTCAAAAATGGACCAATCAAAGGTTAGCGCTGATTTCCAACTGACGGCGTCCTGTCCTAAGAAACCAGGCCTTAAGGATTACGTTTTGTAGTGACACAATGAGATTTTAATCATTTTGCACGAATAAAAAGTCGAAAAAGAAATTTGATTTCAATAAGACCATTTTAATCTTCAAATAAGAAAATAATGATTTTGATATAAAAGCAATAATAAAAGCGAAAAATAGCAATGCATTTTTTTTTATTCATCATCTTTTAGTACGATTAGATTCTCGTTTTATAAGAACCTTATAAAAATCCCCATTCTTTTAAGATGCACTCTCTCGAGAGTGCTTTTAAAAATGGAGTAAATCAAATGATGAAGTGAAGATTTGTCCAATTGCGTGGGACATAGAGTTACAGTATAACAAGAGAACCAAAAACAAATTTAAAATGTTTTTCGGATAAAAAGAACTCAAGTTGATTTAGATATTTTTTTTTCTTTTCATATATTCTGTATAAAAACTCAAGATCTAGAAAAAGGTATTGAAGTGTACAAAGTATTTCCTTTGATCGGAAATCGTTTCTTTTAGAAATTTTTTTTTCTTTATTGTATGAAGGTTTAGTCAAACGACTTAAAATAAATTATTGTATTAGGTGATACTAAGCATTGTTGGAATCATCTGCTTATGTCATCTTTAAAATCTTACATAGTTATTCTTTTAATACTCATCATTCACATTAAATCATTTCACATTAAACTGATTAAATTAATAATTCTGCTATTGGTCGAAAATGACATCACTACTTATGGGAAGGGGGATAGCATGCATCGGCCGATGTATGGCGATATTGAAAAATTGCTGAAAAATTTGCTTATAGAAGTTAGTTTTTAGTTTCTTTAGTTCTATTTAATAATTTATTAATGTTTTTATGGCAGTGTTTTTATATAACAGCATTAATTTTCAAGTGTGTTTTTTAGTCTAATATTTCAATTGAAAAAAACAAAAACAAACAGTCAAATGGTTTTTGGACAAGAGCATTCCAAAACAGATGTAGCTCAAATTGTTTTGCTTCTTGAGTCATTTAATCAACTTTCTTTCAAATTTTAGAACTTCATAAGTTTTTTTGACTTAACTGTTAGGACCCCAGATTGTATCTACTTTTCATATTTTGAGGATAAAGAGTTGAAATCCATTAAAAAAATTCTATGATTTAATCAAACAAATAAATTTTACACCCGATTTCGCAATATAAAATATCATCTCAATTAATTAGCATGTTCAATCTTAAGCCCTCGAACCATCAAAATTTTATGAATAATATTACATAAAAATCTGATAATTATATTAAAGGCCGTTTTTGTCTTCCCTTTTTTTTTTGAAAAAAAAAAAAGCTTTGTAATTGAGAGTTCAGTGTACCCTTATACATTTATTCAGTAATTTTTCATTGTTCCTTTTACCAAATTTAATGAAAAATGTTTTTACAAAACAACATAAGGGAAAAAAACGAGGGCGACCAATGTATGGTGATCAGGGAGCTGTCCCCATGTCAGAGAGATTCTGGGTTCGAATCCCGGACGAAACACAAGGCATTGATGTTCCTCCGTTCTCCTTTTTGTACTGTTTGTCTTCTTACTGTGGGATCAACAGTGACCCAACTAATATGGCATCCCTGTAAGAGTGGTCAACAAATCTGCCCTTCTGGTACCTGAATGACGAATTTAAATATCTTGGTGGGCATTGGCGAGAAATTTTTTAAACCTTACATTCAAATAATTCATTTCACACTGCAACATACTTATTTTAGTCATTATTGGAAAGCGAAATAATTCAATTTAGAGAGATAATTTAAAAAAAAAAATTTTTTTTCTTAACTTACCCTATAATAATCTGTGCTATAAACATCCCTTGACATGCCAAAATCACCAATTTTGACAACAAGTTGGTCGCCAACAAGGCAGTTTCTAGTGGCTAAATCACGATGGACGAAATGCTGGCTCGCGAGGTATTCCATGCCTTTTGATATTTCACACGATATGTGTATCAAGTCAGGTATTGTTAAATGATTATATTTATGCAATTCTATCTCTGGTTTTGAAACTGCAGGAGATCTGTCTCTGTTGAAATAAAAATTTAATCATTTTCATGGTTTAAAAAAATGATTTTTCTTAAAATATTTAATAATATCTTTTAGACACACAAAAAGCAAATTTTAAATCTTGAAGAGTAATTTTAATACGGTAAGATTTTCTGTAAAGAAATGGAGTTGACAATTTTAAATGCTTTTAAATACAACATTTCAATGTTAGGAAGTAAATTAAAATTTTAAATATTAAAATCCTTTATCTCATCCTTTAGTTTTCAGTAATTTCAATTCCCTGAAATGCTTCAGAAATTATTAATTTTATTAATTTGATTCTACTATATTTTCCTTTATAATTACATACCTATAAATGACGTTAGCGTGTGTATAGATCCTAATTGGTTGTTGAAACATGACATTTATGTTAGCAACTGCTTTTTCCATTCCATTTCGAGTAAGCCTAATACGTAAAATATGAAGTGACACACTCTTTCAACAAATAAAATATTACTATTTGTTTGGATTTTTTTTAAATATTACTATTAAATTAAGTTATATTTTGAAATATACTTTTATTTGAATATGTATTTATTAATTTATGGGAAGAAAAACAAAGAATTTTAAGAAGGAATAGTATAGTAGTAGAAATTAGCAAATAGTATAGAGATGATCTAAAATACATTTTTTATCAAGTGTTCATTTTTAGCATCCGAAAAGCAGATTTTAATAATTTTTTTTTTGTTTAATAGATAAAATATTTTCTTTTGATAGTAATAAAATAAAGAGATAAGAAAAAACTTTAAAATTCAGGTAAAAATGAAACTCTACTAAAAATGCTCAGTTAATTGTAGAATTTGTATTAATGTATTTTGAATAGGAAGTAACTCAAACAAAACTCTTTGTATTAAACAAACTATCCATAAAACTGAAGATGTACCAATCTCGCAGAGAAAAAAGGATACAAAAAAAAGACAATTTTCATTAAGATTTTTTAATCTTTTAAAGTGATTGTGGTTTAATTAGTTTATTAATTAGTTTCTTTGTTGGTTTAGTTAGTTTATTAGATAGAGTTGTTAATTCATTAAGATATCCGACTAGTTTCGACAATTTTATTTTAAATATAAAATTTTAAAAGGCTAGTTTATTTGTTTTATTATGTGTAAAAACGTATAAAACTAATTAAAACAATTATCATTATTATTATTATTGTTTGTGAGTCCGTTTTAAGGTAAAAATAAAGCATTTTTAATAATAAAGCATATATGCTAAATAATAAAGCATAAAAAATAAGCATATAATAAGTAAAAATAAATCATATGCGCTAAACACTGTAAAAAAATTCTATCACCTGAAACATTTATGAGGCAATCAACTGTATTTTTAACTATTATTTTAAACGCAAGTACATATACTACTGAGTTAGAGATCAATGTAGTTAAAAAAACGAATTCTTAGAAACTTCAGAAAAGCATGCATAAAAAATGAAATTCGACTTTTTTCTCTTAGTCTGGAGTTCAAAACACTTGTGCTACAATCATTAAAGCACTCATGGAAAATTGTAGACAATTATTTTAAAAACAATATAAGATATCGTGTTTAAGATGGTGTAAAATGTGAAAAAAAAAACTAATTTTGATAAAAACGAATTCAAGGACTTAAAATCACAATCTATCCACTGTTATCACCTGGCACAAAATCTGCTATAACTTTGTAAGTAATTAGAGTACAAACAAAAGTTAAGTAATATTAGAAAGCAACGTCTACAGGAATTCTAAATTCATAATAAATTCAATTATAAAAATCATGCTTTTGTGCTAGTCAGATACCTTAATGTGATACATTTAAACAAAAATCATTTTCAATTTACCCTCTTCTTCTTTTTGCAATTAGGATAATAGTGATAAAAAAAGAGGTTAAATTGTCTTTTTTTCTTCTTTTCGCTTCCTCAAAAGAAAAGATTCAGTACAAAATATATGAAATAACACTGAAAGGCTGCTAATTAGTTTGCTATGGCTAGATTAAAGGAGATGAAAGGTGAATTAAACTATTGATCAAATATATTTTAATATTTTTGTTTTTCAGATTTGTCAGATTTTAATTGCATTTTTGTTTATTTTTACCTAAATATTCATTTGCGATCCAAAGTATGTATAAATACTTGCTTGATTTCACTTTTGTAGCGGATTTTAAATATATATAATAAGTACAATGGCAATCTAATAGAAAAATGGTGTCATGTGTAACATAAAATTAAATATCAAGTTTTAAGTTATACTTGGTATCACGTGCTACATGAAAGCACGTTAAACACTAGACTGCTTCTTTTTTTTACCTTTCTTATACATTACTCGGCAGAATTTTCGTATAAAAACTCTAAAATTGCAATTAATTTTAGTTAATTTAAAAGGTCATATTTTTTAGTAAGTATACACTACTTACGTTAAAAAATTGAATTTTAATTCTCAAAATGCAAGTTAAATAACCATAAGCGGACAACAATGTATTCCCCGGAAATTGAAAAGGAACACAAAATCAATACAATTGCAGATCTTTGCCCATTAGGCCAGCGATGCTATCCAAACGATTCAAAACAAACCTAGTGTAGATGGTAGCGCCTAGAAATCCTTATCTTCCGAACAAACCAACTACTTCTAAAACCTGCTCAACTATTATAAATAACAATATTCTGGATAACTTGACTCAAATTAGAATTTTGAATATAAATTTGATGGAGTTTACGAGAAAGTTTAGTCGATATCATGATACCGCATGTGAGCACAGCTGGTTTTACAACACATTTCAGTCATTTAACGTTATTAAACTAACACAATTAAACTTAGTAATTTTAAAATTATTTGCACAAATAAAGAAAAGCAGAATATATAT